CCCACCATCAGGGGCCCTGGTGAAAAGGCAGACTGGGACTTAGACTCCGCGTCCCGGGGAATCCCGTTCTGTGGACCACTAGAGATCCCGTTGGGCAGAGCCTGACACCTTTTTAGAGGCTCTGAATTAGAATTGCTTTACCTTGACGTTCACACACACAATTAATCCACATAAAATATCATTTCTTGATCTAGAGATAATGGTTGAACAGCAAACCTATATCGGAAACCTAGTGCAGGAAATACATTACTACATGCAACTAGTGCCCACCTTCGTTAGTGAGAAGAATTCCCTATGCGCAATTCTTACAATTGCATAGCAATTGCTCACCAGACAGATTTTAAGGAATAGGCAGATAAATTGCAAAACCATCTTTTGGCCAGAGGTTATTCACAATCTATTTTAAAGAAAGCCTACAACAGGGCAAACAATTGCCCTAGAACATCTCAGAAACAACATTTCTTAGCACTGGCTGACTCAGGAGCATTTTAAGTAGGTAAGATCTACCCCCGAACTGGTTTTTAGGCAGGCGACCTCTTTACGAGATCGTCTCACCTCTAGCCATTATCATTGGGTGAGTGATAGTCCCTCGTTGCCCAGTGGCACCTATCGTTGTGGGCATTGCCAGTGGTGCCCCTGGGTAACTAAGGGCTCAGGCACAGTATTCGTTTACTCAGTGGAAAATGCCACAAATCATGAAGAAGCTTTGCTAACTGTACTACTCAGGGAGTTATTTATTTAATGGTTTGCTGTTGCCAAGCTTTTTATGTTAGTAAGACAATATGTCAATTTGACCAAAGGACAGGAGATCACATATACTGTTCGGGAAATTGTAAGATACTTATGCCTTTTACTAAACATATAGGATTATACCATAGGTATGATAACACCAAAGTCTCTATCTTTGTCCTTGAATTCTCCCCATAGATCCGAGAGGTGGTGACTGGGATAGACGAATTCTGCAACATGAAAAACTGTGGACTGAGTGCTTGAATGTGACCATTCCACCAGGAATAAATTAAATGTATACATATAAATCGTTTTTGTAAATATTGGTGCTGCCTATTGTGACATATCTATACAATGGATATAGGGAGTTTTACAGTATAGTTTTCTTTTTTTCCTTTGTTCTTTTCCTTTGTTGTTTTTCTTTCTTTTTTTTTCTTCTTTAATCTCTTTCTTAGCAGATGTATGGGGGGCTGTCCTTTTTGACTCCTTCCATATAATATGATAGTTACCTAGTTAGTCTGGCTGAAAAAAGACAAAAGTCCATCCAGTTCAACCATTAAAAAAAAAAAAAAAAGTTATAATCCTATATCCACAGTTGATCCAGAGGAAGGCAAAAAAACCCAGCAATGCATGATCCAATTTGCTCCTGCAGGGAAAAAAAATTCCTTCCTGATCCCCCAAGAGGCAATTGGATATTCCCTGGATCAACTTTACCTATAAATGTTATATCCAGTTATATTCTGTGTATCTAAATAAGAATCCAGGACTTTTTTTTAAAGCAATCCACTGAGGTGGCCAGAACCAACTCTTGAGGGAGTCTACTCCACATGTATGGATGTATTATTCCAAGTTTGACTTTTTGCCAGTTTTGAAATAATATACTTACAGTACCTTAAAATATGGTTATGTTTAGTTTTTATTATATGTTGTATTTGAATGTTTACGGTATGTACTTAATGGTTATGTTCCTTGCTTTGCACTGCTGTGCTAGGTGTAGTTTTGGTTTGGGCCTTGTGGTGGTGCTGACATTAATCTCTCTATTTGGGCGAACATGCGAACCCTTAGGTGGGGGGGAATGGTTCCCTCCTGAGTTTCCTTCTCCTTCCAGCAGGACTGCTGAGTGGCCTCATGTTTTGCTCTTTGCTGCTCTGTAATCGGCACGGTGTGTGGGGTCCAGCACATGCGCAATCAAGTGATCGGGTCCAGTGATGTCATATTCAGCCAATATACTGGCTGGGAGCTGATGGGTTGGAGTACTATATAAGAGGCCAGCTTTGACTGCAAGGAGCGATGTTTTCTGCTGATACTCACCTGAGGTAGCTATGTGAACTTTGTCTATTGTTTTCGCTCTGTTTTATCTTCTCTGGGTAACAAGTGTATGGTGACTCATTGTGTATGGGTTTTTCTCTAGGGGCACGCCATGTGGAAGCTGTTTTCCTACTTTGATCACAGATATACATTGGGGAAAATAATTATTTAATCCCTGCAGATTTTGTAAGTTTGCCCACTTACAAAGAAATGAAGGGCCTATAATTTTTTCATAGGTGTATTTTAAATGAAAAAATGAAAATTCCAGAAAAAACCATGATGCAAATGTTATAAACTGATTTCCAGTTCAGAGAATAAAATACATATTTGATCTCCTACCAACCAAGAATAATTCTGGCTCCCACAGACTGGCTATGTGCCCATGTGGTACACAGATTAGTCCTGCCAATTTAAGAAGGTGCTCCTAATGACAAATTATTATGTGTATAAAAGACACCTGTCCACAGAATCTTTTTCTTCAATTCAAATCTCACAATCTAGGGCAAATGACCAAAGAGCTCTCAAAACACAGACGGGGACAAGATTGTAGACCTGCACAAGACTGGAATGGACTACAAGACCATCAGCAAGAAGAGTAGGGAGCAGGAGACAACAGTTAGAGTGATTATTTGCAAATGGAAGAAATACAAAATAACCATCAATCGCCCTCGGTCTGGAGCTCCATGCAAGATTTCGCTTCATGGGATAAGGATGATTATGAGAAAAGTGAGGGATCAGCCCAGAACTACACAGGAGGAGCTTGTGAATGATCTCAAGGCAGTTGGGACCACAGTCACCAAACAAACCATTGGTAACACAATACGCCAACGTGGATTGAAATCCTGCAGCACCTGCAAGGTCCCCTCAAGAAGGCCCATCTGAAGTTTGCCAATGAACATCTTAAAGATTCAGAAAAGGACTGAGAGAAAGTGCTGTAGTCAGATGAGACCAAAATTAAGCTCTTTGGCATCAACTTGACTCACCGTGTTTGGAGGAAGGAAAATGATGACCTTAAGAACACCATCCCTAAAGTCAGTAACGGAGGTGGAAACATTATGCTTGACTGCTGTTTCTCTGCTAAAGGTACAGGCCGACTTTGCCGAAATGAGGGGCCAATGGAAGGGGCCATGTATTGTAAAATCTTGGATGAGAACTTTCTTCCCTCAACCAAGTGAGTTGTCAGGCACAGTTCTGGCCATATTCAGTATATTTTTACAATGTGGTTACAAATATGTCCCCAGTGGGACTATTACTCCCGTCTCCTGTTCATTTGTCATTGGAACAGAAAATATGGGGAAAAATCTCCAATAGAGTTCCAAACAAATGTTAAAATGAGGTTATTTTTGGTAAAGAAATGGTGAGATCCTTTGTTAGGTGCTGTCTGAGAGAGGTTCAAATGTTGGTATCTTGTGCTCAAGGCAACTTGGATAATTCTGAACCATCTATGTTAGGGTTCCATGGAACGCAAGGGTTCATCCAGAGGTTTCTAGGGGCTCCTTGAGTAATGAGCAATTTCTGCCTCTCAGATAAGTTGCCACTGACACCACTGATCTTTTTAGCTATCTGTAGGGGGGGAATTCTTCTCAATGACTACAAGTGTAAGGAACATTCTTCCCACTGACCATCACAATAATGTAGTTGTAGATATAGTAGTTTTTAGCCGGGGTTTCCTGAGACTGGAAAGTTAGTACAAGGGTTCCATTGTATTGAAAAGGTTGAGAAAAGATGATCTATGAGTTTAAAACTCTCCCATGAACATAATTTTCCACTGCCAAAATTGGCCCTTATGGTTGATCATGTGATTATGGCTGGAAGACCTGCCCACTGAGCACAAAGGAAGAAGAAGGTGACTGGAGTGCAGATGGGAGTTTCTACCAAACAGCAGTAGGTTTGAGTCTGAAAGTAAATTTGCTAAAATTTATGAAGGTTCTTTCAACTTTATTTAGTTGACATGATATACATATACCCAACAAGTGGTAGTTTGGGTAGCATGGCATTCAGTGAATGAATTCTCTGATTGGACAAGGTGGGGAGGCAGGGCGGTAGTGTCACCATCTTCACCCTGTCCCATCAGAGAACAAAATATATTGTAAAAAAATTTAAAAATTGCAATACCTAAACTTAAGCCGTAAATGTATCTTACATGTTTGTAATAAAGGTTTGAATTAGTCACCGACATTTTATGTTTTTCAAGTATTGGTATCTACATTACTAGCCAAAGTTCTCCCTTCTGTGCCATAACCATTGCAAAACAATTCATCATGCTACATTCTCATTAGACAAGTGCATGCCAACAATTCTCATTCATTGGAGAATTTTATTTCATTATATTCTTTATGTTAAACCAATTTGTTTTCTGTATTTGTTACGTATCTTCTGCATTCATTTTGTACATTTATTGGTCCAGTGGATTTGAGAAATTTTGCAGTTTTTCCAGAAGATTGCTATATATTTGATATATTATTGAATTGGACGGATCTGAATCGGAAGGACTCAATATTTTTGGATGCTACTCCAACCCACCAAAAGAAATCTCATGAACTGATTGGATAATATCAACTGGTGTCATGTGCATCCAAATGATTGAATGGAATGAAATTTGAATTATCAAACAAATTCAAAAATTAAATTCATTTCCCCATGGGCCTAAACTATTATTGGATCTTTTGACGTCATCCAAATGAAGCAAGTGCTTTTGTTATCATTTTTTTCTGATTCATTGACATTTGTTACTATGTCCATTTGGAGATCTATATCCTTGTACCATGTCCTTTTCATTTACATCCCAATCTCCAAAAATGATATTTCTTCTGAAAAACGAATCATAGCAAAACACACATGACTAATTCTCATTAAAGATTCACTAGCGAGAACCTCTCCTATTGGCATCAGTAGGGTGGGTAGTGCTGAGTAACATTGTAACTGAGGTCAACTGTGCCAGATTATTTAGTTCATTACAATGACTATTCCTGATTTACTAAGCCCAGCGTCAAATTTTGCTGTTCTTCTTCAGACCTTACTGACCTGTAACCAAACAAATCCATTGCCTCTTTGCAGTTGTCTTGAATCTGTTTTACAAAATTGAACTTCAGAGCAGTTCTCCATTTTTGGACCACCTTTGAAGAATCGCGTGAGAAAGTCATGATCCCTTCCACCTCCTTGTGGGTGATATTGTAAACCCATTGTTCCAGGTTTTTAGTTAGATACAAGCTAGCAAAACTGTAAATTTTTTTTATGTGTTTAAGGGGTTCATTAGAAAGGTCCTCATGTCTAATTGTCATGTATCGCCCTTGCAACACCTCCGCTGCTTTAGCCACATTGTTGATGTCAACCTGAGATTTGCAAATCTTCTTCATTACCCTGCTTATTGTAATATTTGTATTTCCATCACTCTTAAGTACAATTCGGTCCTCAATATTGAGAGTAAAGGATTTCCTTGACAAAGCAACAGCTCGAGGGTCCCTTACAAGGTGCAAAATACGAAGATCAAGAGCAGGATCTCGGAAAAGGGGAAGAAGAACAGAAAGGTCTAAAATGCGGACTGTTTTCATCACCACGTGGCTGTATGTCTTGCATGATTCTGCCATTTTATTCAGTGAAGTGTTCCTGCATCGGTAGTAGCACTTGAGGCGGTCATAGCCTTCAGTAGGCATAAAGGCTGAACAAGCTGGTGGGGTGCAGAGTGCACGACTTTCTGCAAAAAAACCCAATTCAGAAATATGTTTTCCACCCTTATGAAGATACTGACGAAGAGGGGACACATCACAGGTGAATAGCGATCGTAGAAGATCTCTTAAGGGAAAATGTAGCAGCTCAGAACTTTCACCCGAAAACTTCATCCAGAGGGAATGTCCAGGCTCAAAGAGGTAGAAGACATCATTGTGATGGTTGAAGATCTGTCCAAGGAATGAAGAACCTGATCTCCAGGATGACACAACCAGGAGATGGACCGGTTTCTTTTTCAGATCAGAGTTTGGTGAGTGTATAAAAAAGGGAGTTTTTCTGAAAAGGAACTGGGATATGGAGAAGAAAGATAAAAATATGAAGAGAAAGAAGAAATATTTCAGACGTGGTAACATCATCAGAAGTTAAGTATGAACTGGAATGACCTAGAACGACCAGGAAGTCTAAAAGTTGATGAGAGATGAGAAATGGGACCTATAAAAGAGAGTAGTGAAAATGATAAAGATTAGTAAATGGGAATCAAAGAAGAACTCTATTCAACTAAAGTGTATGTCCAGCCAAAACTTTATTCTTTCAGTCTTCAACTGATTTGGAAAGGATTAAACTCTGTGTTGGGTTTTTATTGCTATCAGGGACTTAGTTAAAGAGATCTGCCCTCACTTACAACAGTGTAATACCAGTTTCAACAGACCGGTGGTGTAGAACAATCAACAACAGGACAAGATAGCAATAAAAATCCGATGGGGATCTGGCTGTTTCCTACTCTACTGAATTAATAAAAACATTTTTAACCGTTTCTGTGTTGCTCTTAGAGATTTTCCCCAACTTTATGTTTGATGACACCATTGTCAGAGGGACGAGAGGAAATCTCTCCTATGGTGCCATGGAGAGCAGACCAAACCCAGCAGGAGTTTTAAATCTTTGCCACGCTATCAAACAGAAAGTTTTGGCTGTTTTACCAAACCCCGGACCCTGCATTCACTATATCAGGTCTCCCCGGACCCTGCATTCACTATATCTGCTCTCCCCGGACCCTGCATTCACTATATCTGGTCTCCCCGGACCCTGCATTCACTATATCCGGTCTCCACAGACCCTGCATTCACTATATCTGGTCTCCACAGACCCTGCATTCACCATATCTGGTCTCCCCAGACCCTGCATTCACTATATCCGGTCTCCCCGGACCCTGCATTCACTATATCCGCTCTCCCTGGACCCTGCATTCACTATATCCGGTCTCCCCGGACACTGCATTCACTATATCCGGTCTCCCCTGACCCTGCATTCACTATATCCGCTCTCCCCGGACCCTGCATTCACTATATCCAGTCTCCCCGGACCCTGAATTCACTATATCCGGTCTCCCCAGACCCTGCATTCACTATATCCGCTCTCCCCGGACCCTGCATTCACTATATCAGGCCTCCCCAGACCCTGCATTCACTATATCCGGTCTCCCCGGACCCTGCATTCACTATATCCGGTCTCCCCAGACCCTGCATTCACTATATCTGCTCTCCCCGGACCCTGCATTCACTATATCCGGTCTCCCCAGACCCTGCATTCACTATATCTGGTCTCCCCGGACCCTGCATTCACTATATCTGGTCTCCCTGGACCCTGCATTCACTATATCCGCTCTCCCCGGACCCTGCATTCACTATATCCACTCTCCCAGGACCCTGCATTCACTATATCTGGTCTCCCTAGACCCTGCATTCACTATATCCGGTCTCCCCAAACCCTGCATTCACTATATCTGGTCTCCCCGGACCCTGCATTCACTATATCTGGTCTCCCTGGACCCTGCATTCACTATATCCGGTCTCCCTGGACCCTGCATTCACTATATTTGGCCTCCCACAGTACACACAACATGGAAATGCAATTATTTTAGTAAATATAAACTGCTAAATACCCTTTTTCATCAGCAGTTAGAGCAGTCTTATGATTTCTATCAGTGTCCAGCAGATCACTGGTTAAAGCTTGTAGAAGGAGTTTTCTTTCTGCTCTAGGAGAATGCAGAACCACTGACCTCTATCTGGACAGTGCTGATTGGCCATGTGCTGACCACATGAACTCTACCAAGAAAAAGAAACCTCTCTAGCAATACATACCAAACTGAGCATGTGCAGAATGGCTACGGTTCAGTCTGTCTTATCAGGAGATAAGATGTGGTCATTTGAACAAGAGGAGGAGCAGAGAAGACAGGATCAAATGGCCTTTTTACACAATGCGGAGGATTAACCCCTTAGGTTCCACAGTGAATATAACAAGCATGCTTTGCTGTATATACAGACTGATTGTACTGTTGTGGGTTTAGTAACACTTTAAAGGTAAGGAAAAAATATAAGCGAGCACTCTGAGGGTTAGCAGCAAGCACAAAAAAAGGTGACATATCAACCTTATAAAACAGCAATAAAGATAAAAGTGCAGCTCTTAAATATAAATGTTAATTCTTATAAATACAGGTGAAACTCGAAAAATTAGAATATGGTGCAAAAGTTCATTTATTTCAGTGCAGCAACTTAAAAGGTGACACTAATATATGAGATAGACTCATTACATGCAAAGCAAGATAGTTCAAGCCGTGATTTGTCATCATTGTGCCAGTATCCAAAATTAATTGTCTATCAAGAACATCTGTATAAACAAGATACATATATCCAATCAATACTGAAGAGGTAATGCACTAAATTCAATATAAATGAACCATAAAGCATATAATTGTCACAAGAGTTAATACACCATACAAAATAAGGTGCAGCAAAAAAATAAACCAATAAGGTGCTATTGCCTATAAATGTCCAAATGTAAACATGTATATCCAAATGAAACAATACATCAATCCTCATCAGGTGTAATCTTTATTCTCCAGGAAAAAAACTCTCCACTCCGGCACCAGCAGTGTGCAATCCTCCACCCTTATGTACTCACCGAAGAGCTAAAATACAATAGCGTGTATCATAGCTAACATCCAAAACAGTCTCCTCACCCTCAGGCCACCAATCAGGTTCCCTAGATAGAAAGGAGCTTACACCAGAGAGCCCAGATAAAGGTATATAGCGCAGTATTTATAGGTAAAATAACAGTACAAAATATAAAATAAATCCACGTGGTAATGTAAGCAAGCAATCCGGATTTGCTAAGATGATCGATGATCCAAGTCCTGGAAACAGAGGAGTGACATCATCACGTAAGGTCCCTTACGTGATGACGTCATGCCGCTGTTTTAAATATGTAGCATTTATTTTTAAGCACTGAACTTTTATCTTTATTCATATATTAAAGGTACCTAAATCCAAGTACTGAAATCTTATATCTGCATTTATTTTTCAGACTTTTCAGATCCAGCCAGTAACATACTTCCTGTCTGTCCTGTAGACACAACAGGAAAGCTTTCCAAAGTGAGAAGTTCCTTGTTAATGGAACAAGTGTCCCCATTGGAAGATTGCTCCGATATTTCTGTTCTGGTGGTCAACTCAAAATGTTGGGATTTCTCTCCCAGAGATATGGGTTGTCAGGACAAATAGAGAGCAAACATGGATAATTGAAATTGTGTGCAAAGAAACAAACAGAGGGCGCACGAGCCTACTGCATTACCTTCTAAAAATGAGATTTATTGAATAAAAAGTCTGACAAAGAGGTTTTGCCTCGAAATGCATTACCATTTGGACGCCTACATTCCCTCAACAGCCACCATCTAAGGAGATTGGACCATGCTGTCACTCTGCTCTCTCCTCCTATCAGCATGTTTCCTGTCAACACATGAACTGATTGGCTTCTTGTGCTACTTCTTCCTCTCATACTCCAGCCCTGCTAGGAGGCTGTGTGCCTTCCCTCGGCACTTTGCCATGTGATTGCCGGATGGAGGCCCCAGCCGGAGGGCCTGAAGCTACTGAAAGTTACTGAAGCTAACTGTGGAGCCGTCATCGGAGGATCTGGTCTGGAACTACTGGGAAGCAAATATCTGTAGGATACTGATAGGAGGCAACCAAGTGTATCCTGAGTACAGACAAGGGTAAGAGATTCTAGAGAAGAAGTGCTGATGCCACCCCTTGTGTGTGTTGGAAGGTCAGCTGAATGTTTGCAAAGGGGACGTTGTAACTGGTGTCCTGAAGAGCATAGTCTATCTAATTCCTTGTGAAAGGACTTTGCTTGATCTGCCCAAAGCAGGGGCGGACTGACTATTTGGAAACTTGGGCACTGCCTGAGGGCCCGGGGTCAGTAGGGGGCCCCATGAGATGCCCCTGGTACCTTTTTCATAGGCTTTTTTGAGTTTGGGAAAGGACACAGGGACCCCATGATCCCCTATTGCCCAGGGGCCCCATGAGTTGTCAGTCCGCCCCTGGCCCAAAGAGGAAGATTTAATCTCCTCAATACTTGCTCCTGCAGACCCTTTTCAGAATCTGCCCACACTGGGACCAGGCTCAGAGTTCTAAGAAGCAAGCTCAGTGTCCTCAAGTTTGTTACTAGGAGCTACCAGAGTATCCCACAACTTCCCACTCCTATCCAAGTTCAACCTTTTATTAAAGCATCAGAAAATTATCCCCTAGACTGTGTCTTGAGCCAATGGAGTGACTGTGCATGTGTGCCTGGCTGTGGGACAATTACGGGAAAAGACCTAAGGGACCTACAAAATAGTTGACTCCTACAGGGGGTACCGCTATATTAGACTGAGGAAATATTTCGTTTTAGACAAAAAAAAAAAAAATAAAAATCCAGTAACAAAGGGTGCACCAGCCTGGTGACTTATCTCAAACACCATTTATTAATAAAAAATGTATAATGATACTCTCAAATCTGTCAAAAACCAAAGGCATATAGTAAATTCTATGTTGTGCAATGTTTCCAAGGTCTACTAAATTGGTCATCCAGGTCTTGGAGGTGCCAAGGGACCCTGTCATAAGATACCTATGATTTTAACAGCTTTGTGAGTATCTTTGTAATTTTTGTTTTATTAATAAATGGTGTTTGAGATAAGTCACCAGGATGATGCACCCTTTTTGCAGTTTTATTTTCTAGCCATAGATCACTCTTAGAAGGGATTTGATGCTACACAGCTGCGGGGGGGGGGGGGGGGTGTCGGTATTTGGTCTCCACTGACCGTATCAAAATGAAAAAACAGTGTAAAAAGTACAATAAATGCTTGCTTGGTAACAATTAAGCCAATCACATGGCAGCAACTCAATGCATTTAGGCATCTAGACGTGGCGAAGATGACTTGCTGAAGTTCAAACTGAGCATCAGAATGGGGAAGAAAGGGATTTAAGTGACTTTGAACATGGCATGGTCGTTGGTGCCAGACAGGCTGGTCTGAGTATTGCAAAAGCTTATGATCTGCTTGGATTTTCATGCACAACCATCTCTACGGTATACAGAGAATGGTCCG